GTTTCCACTGGTACCTGTTCTTTAAGCTTGTTCTGATGTTTTCTCTTTAAAAGGGAAATCTTAGATTCAGTGAACTAGTTCATTCATGTACAGGCTTAATGATTTCATTGTTCGTTTGATGGTGGAAGGTAGCATGTAGAGCAGAATGCCTCAACCTGGATTCCTTACATATTTAGATTTTTAAAGATTATTTATTTATTTTAGAGAGTGAGAGAGCAAGAGTGAGGGGCAGGGAGGGAGGGAGAGAGAATCTCAAGCAGATTCCCCACTAAGTGCAGAGCTGACAGGGGCTCAGTTCCATGACCCTGAGACCATGACCCAAGCAAAACTAAGAGTCAGAGGCTTAACTGACTGGGCCACCCAGGTGCCCCACATTTAGATTTTTAACGTGTATTTAGATTCTTCCACTTGGTTTTGAAATCTGAGTACCTCTGAGGGAAAATTACTTTAGGAGTAGTTTTTCGATGTTTATAGCCGCAATGTCCACAAAAGCCAAACTGTGGAAAGAGCCAAGATGTCCATTGACAGATGAATGGATAAAGAAGATGTGGTATATATATATATATCAATGGAATATTATGCAGCCATCAAAAGGAATGAGATCTTGCCATTTGCAACGACGTGGATGGAACTGGAGGATGTTATGCTGAGCGAAATAAGTCAATCAGAGAAAGACATGTATCATATGACCTCACTGATATGAGGAATTCTTAATCTCAGGAAACAAACTGAGGGTTGCTGGAGTTGTGGGGGTGGGAGAGATGGGGTGGCTGGGTGATAGACATTGGGGAGGGTATGTGCTATGGTGAGTGCTATGAATTGTGAATTGTGTAAGACTGTTGAATCACAGACCTGTACCTCTGAAACAAATAATACATTATATGTTTAAAAAAGAAGAAGAAGAAAGAAGAAAGAAAGAAGAAGAAGAAGAAGAAAGAAGAAGAAGAAGAAGAAGAAGAAGAAGAAGAAGAAGGAAGAAGAAGAAGAAGGAAGAAGAAGAAGAAGAAGAAGAAGAAGAAGAAGAAGAAGAAGAAGAAGAAGAAGAAGGAAGAAGAAGAAGGAAGAAGAAGAAGAAGAAGGAAGAAGAAGAAGAAGAAGAAGAAGAAGAAGAAGAAGAAGAAGAAGAAGAAGAAGAAGAAGAAGAAGAAGAAGAAGAAGAAGAAGAAGAAGAAGAAGAAGAAGAAGAAGAAGAAGAAGAAGAAAGAAATGAAGGGGGGAAAATCGGAGGGGGAGATGAACCATGAGAGACGATGGACTCTGAAAAACAAACTGAGGGTTCTAGAGGGGAAGGGGGTGGGAGGATGGGTTAGCCTGGTGATGGGTATTAAAGAGGGCATGTTCTGCATGGAGCACTGGGTGTTATGCACAAACAATGAATCATGAACACTACATCAAAAACTAATGATGTAATGTATGGTGATTAACATAACAATAAAAATTAAATAAATAAATATACCTAACACACACACACACACAAAGAAGTATTTTTTTTCAATAACCTATAGTTAAGTATTTTATAATTGTATAATAAATGTTAGGCTGTGCTTCCTGCAGAAAAAGAGTTAGTATAGCACAATTATGACTGCTATTCTTAGAAATGCCTGCCTGCAAGATTGGCCCCTACCTAGCCGTTGGGGACTTGGGTTTAGAGAGGGTTCTCACCATTCCCGGGACTGAAAACAGTTTTTCACTGCACCTAAACACTTCATACAAGCCATATATCTTATACTGAACACCCAGTTTCCTTCTGGGAATCTAGGTTTTGATACTTGTCAAGGCAGAGGATACCCAGTCACCAGCCTCCAATAAAATCACTAGGAACTGCGTTTCTAATGAGTTTCCCTGGTAGACATTTCACAGGTGTCATGACAGTTTGTTGTTGGAAGGATTAAGTGCGAGTCCATCAGGAGAGGACTCTTGGAAGCTTGTGTCTAGACTCCTGAACTTTGCTCCATCCATGTGGTTTTTCTTTTGTTTATTTTGCTTTTTATCCTTTTGCTATAATAAATCATACCCATGATCACAACTATATGTTGAATCCTGTCTGTCCTATTAGTGAATCACTGAACCTGGAGGTTCTGGTGGACCCCTGGCATAGCTTTCCTCTTATAATTTAAGTTCAGTGATCTGGGATAAATAATATTTATATAATACTTAAATAAACTGTCTATATTCAGGTGGATGTTTACCTAGTGTAAGAAGAAAAGAGGGGGGAGCTACATCTTCATTCCAGTGACAATATAAACACTCTATGACCTACTATTTTTCAGCTTTGGGTTCTGGTTCGTGTCCCTGGAAGGTCTGGTCATTTTATAGACTCAGATCTCAGTCTTCCTGGTTCTCTGTCTTGTTAGAACTCTAAAGTTCTGATTTTATACAATCTGTGTCCTAAAGTTAGGTTCATTAGGATGCTGAGTTTACCAAGAGTGAATTAGTCCATCTAGATTTATCATGTAAGATGATAAGAGACACAAAATTGGGATCACAGAGATATTGAGAACATATTTATGAGTCTGTCTTTCCCCCTATTTCCTGCACAAATAGATCATTTTTTTTAATAAAAGCTAATTATTTATAAAATATTACTCAGCAAGGGTTTTTTTTTTTTTTTAAGATTTTATTTATTTATTTGACAGAAAGAGAGAGACAGCTGGAGAGGGAACACAAGCAGGGGGAGTGGGAGAGGGAGAAGCAGGCTTCCCACCGGGCAGGGAGCCCGATGAGGGGCTCAATCCCAGGACCCTGGGATCATGACCTGAGCCGAAGGCAGACGCTTAACGACTGAGCCATCCAGGTGCCCCTATAATAGTTGTTAAGCTTATCACAGGGAATTCCTTTTCTGTTTATCCATGCCAGGAATCTGTCTACTCATATAGTCACAGCTAAATATATCTTTTTCTTTTAATGTGTTATACCTTTTTTGGTCAAGAAGAGAACAGATTAAATATTGTAGTAATAGGAATGACTAGGCCATTAATAATGCTGCCCATAATCATCAACTAAATGATATTGTGCAATGCTTTCTTTTCAGTTATTAAATTCACATCATCCCCCTTTTTTGTTTTTATTGGATTGCACTATCATTGGCTCTTTTTTTTCTTTTATCTTTGTAGAAATTAGGACACAGTTTTTACATTTAAACCTGTGTAGTCTGCCTAGGAAACATTCAGTCCATAATATTTGTATTAGAAACTGATAGCAACTCTCCACAAGCCCAAGCTGGTGGTATAAAGGAGTATAAGGCTGGTATTAGAAAATGTGCAGTGGCAGGGACTGGGAAGAGCTTAGGAGGTCCATGTTCTATCTGCAGGCATTCAAAGTGAGAATTTGAAGTACTCTGCAAGGTAAACAAAACAGTGGTGCACGGCACATTAGGCCCAGAGACCTTTTGTAATCTCTTACATACTCATATCTTCATATATCTACCCAACATATATAGTATTTAAATAGATTTTGTTCCTACTCTGGGGTATTTTTGACTAAAAATATCTTTCCATTTACCTTTCAGAAGTAAAATGTACATTACCAGTTGAATAGCCAAATGAGAAAAGTATGTCCTTTTCAAAATATTGTTTACAAAGGATTATTGATAGGGAAGTTTCTTCATGTCTTCTTTCTGGAGTACTCCTATAGCGACTTTGTTAAAAAAGTATAGACATGCTTCTGTTCTATTTTGCTGTGAACCAAAATGTCTCTAAAAAAATGAGCTTTTTAATTTAAATAAAACCTCGAAAAATGTATCGATATTAGAAAATCCTCTACAAAATAGAGTAATTTTGATTATGTTTGGTTGTAGAATACCTCTTTGTTTTTATTAATTTCTTTTTGTTAAACAGAGTTTTTTTTTTTTTTTCCTTAACCCCCAAATGAATATGCATTCATAGAAACATTAGCAAATTCTACCTTCATCATGGCTTGGAACTAGAATCTAAAACCTCCTCACTACCTTTTCAGAACTACTGGATTGTTTGTATTTCTGCTTTTTCATTTTTTTTTTAAATTTCAGTAAGTTTGCAAAACTCAAAAAGTAACTTATTTAAAGCAGTTAATTACTAACAACTTATCTTTCCCCAAAGTTTGGATTTACTCTTCTGAAGTTGATTGTGATGGCTTAATATCCACTTATATCAGATTGCTCTTGAATATATGGAAGGTTTAAAAAAAAATACATAAATTTTAACTGGGTTAAAGATTTGTGTTCACTATAACTGCTTTGTCATTAAACTAAATGAGGTATTAAAGTCTTAAAACCAGAGTTATAATAAGATAGAGAACTCAACCATAACTGTATGACTAAAGAAAATACTAATTGACGATGCCTTCTTCTCAAATGTCCGAAATAGGCTTGTTTCGTGTGGCGTTTTTAATTGAGTTATAGGTTTCTTTTCCTTTATCCTCACAAAATGCAATAGTATAGTAAATGTAATATTGGTTATCATGTGGTTGACTTTAAGTCTCTTTTTAAAATTTTTTATTCTAAATGTATGTTTGAAATTGTAGAATGGGGAAATATTTTAAGCAAACATGCAAACATGGGAGATAGTTTTTCTAATGATAATGAAATTACATTTTCTAAAAGGAGGAGCTATGTAACTATGGTTATGTTGCATGAAAAATCTTAATGAAAATTTAAAGATCAGTAACAGATTTTTTCATTGCTGTTGCTGTAAGCAATACTATGTAGTAATCCTTGTATGATTGCTGAGTACACAGCATTGAATAAGAGAGTCCCTACACTTTGGACCCAATTTACATACTTTTTCTCAGTTTTTCTTAGATATTAAGTGATTTTGCAACCGAAGAAATTTAATAATCTCTTAGAATGAATTTCATCAAACAAATGTGATAAATAATAGTTTTCTGGTTTTTGTATATTTCATTGAGCATCATGATCCCTACGATATTTATAATTGTAATTAATACTCTTAGCAAACAATGTATAACAATCAAAGAAACCACTATAAACAATGCATTTAAGTATATTTTTTCTAATGTTTTAGCTGGGAAGTTTTAAGATTCCTTCTGTCAAACATAAGATGGTGGTTAGAAGAATATGGCTTTGATGGATTTCGTTTTGATGGTGTTACATCCATGCTCTATCATCACCATGGAATGGGTAGGTAGCCTAATATATTACAGATGCAACTAATGATTTCATTTTTTTTCTTTACTGGAATATTAAAACCAGATTTAGAGTTCTGTTACAGAGTTGCAATGACCATTATTGTTGGCTTGATTTTTATTAGTTTCATTGTGTATTTCCTTTCTCTAGTGACTTCTGATCTTCTTGGCAAGAGGTTGGATATAATTACATTTTATAAGTAAATAAACAATAATGCTTTTCTTTGAAATATATCTACTTAATAATATGCTATCCTTAATGTGTAGCTTTCCTTTAAAAATGTTTTATTTTTTAAAATTTTTTTCTATTCAAATATAACATGCAATGTTAGATTAGTTTCAAGTATACAAAAGTAAAGATTCCACAGTTCTGTACATTACTCAGTGCTCATCACTGTAAGTGTATACTTAATCCCGTTCACCTATTTCATCCATCCCCACACCCACCTCCCCTCTGGCAACCATCAGTTTATTCTGCATGTTTAAGAGTCTGGTTTTTTGTTTGTCTCTTTTTTCTTTGTTCGTTTGATTTGTTTCTTAAATTTCACATATGAGTGAAGTCATGTGGTGTTTGTCTTTCTCTGACTGACTTATTTCACTTAGCATTATACTCTTTAGACCCATCCATGTTGTTACACATGGTAAGATTTCATTCTTTTTTATGGCTGAGTAATATTCCATTGTATATATAATCACAGCTTCTTTATCTAGTCATCTCTGGATGGACACTTGGGTTGCTTCCATATCTTGGTTATTATAAATAATGCTGCAGTAAACATAGGGGTGCATATATCTTTTTGAATTAGTGTTTTTGTATTCTTTGGGTAAATACCCAGTAACGGAATTACTGGATCATATTGTAGTTCTATTTTTAATTTTGGAGGGGGCCTCCATACTGTTTTCCACAGTGGCTGCACCAATTTATATTCCTGCCCACAGTGTACAAGGGTTCCTTTTTCTCCACATTCTTGCTAACACTTGTTATTTCTTGTGTTTTTTATTTTAGCCATTCTGACAGGTATGAGGTGATATCTCACTGTGGTTTTGATTGGTATTTCCTTGACGATGAGTGATGTTGACCATCTTTTCATGTGTCTGCTGGCTGGCTGTATGTTTTCTTCAAAATAATGTTTATTCATGTCCTCTGCCCATTTTTAATCAGATTATTTGTTTTTTTGATGTTAAGTTGTATAAGTTCTTTATATATTTTGGATATTAACTTCTCAGATACATAATTTGCATATATCTTCTCCCATTCAGTAGGTTGCCTTTTTGTTTGTTAACGATTTCCTTCACTGTGCAAAAGCCTTTTATTTTGGTATAGTCCCGGTAGTTTAATTTTGCTTTTATTTTCCTCGCCAAAAAAGACCTAGCTAGAAAAATGTCTGGCTGATGTCAAAGAGAGTACTGCCTATGTTTTCTTCTAGAAATCTTATGGCATCAGGTCTCACATTTAGGTCTTTAATCTATTTTGAGTTTATTTTTGTGTATGGTCTAAGAAAGGGGTCCAGTTTCATTTTTTGCCTGTAGCTGTCCAGTTTTCCCAGCACCATTTGTTGAAGAGACTGTCTTTTTCCCCATGTATATTCTTGCCTTCTTTGTCATAGATTAATTGACCATAAAATTGTGGGTTTATTTCTGGGCTCTCTATTCTGTTACATCTATCTATGTGTCTATTTTTGTGCCAGTACCATCCTGTCTTGATCACTACAGCTTTGCGGTAGATCTTGAAATGTGAGATCGTGATACTTCCAGTTTTGTTTTCCTTTTTCAAGATTGCTTTGGCCATATGGGGTATTTCACAGTTTTGTGCAGTTTAGGGTTACGTGTTCTAGTTCTGTGAAAACTACTGTTGATATTTTGATAGGAATTTCATTGAATCTGTAGATTACTTTGGATACTATAGACATTTTCACAGTACTGGTTCTCCCAGTCCATCAGCATGGAATAGCTTTCCATTTGTTTGTATCATCTTTAATTTTTCCCATCAGTGTTTTATAGTTTTCAGAGTACAGGTATTTCACCTCCTTGATCAAGTTCACTCCTAGGTATTTTATTCTTGTTGGTGCAATAGTAAATGGGATTGTTTTCTTAATTTCTCCTTCTATTCAAATTAGTATATAGAAACTCAACAGATTCCTGTATATTAATTTTGTATCTTGCAATTTTACTAAATCCATGTATCAGTTCTAATAGTTTTTGGTAGAGTCTGTAGGGTTTTCTGTATATAGTATCATGTCATCTGCAAATAGTAAAAATGGTGAAAAACTGAGAGCTTTTCCTCTAAGATCAGGAAGTAGACATGGATGTCCGCTCTCACCACTTTTATTCAACTGGAAGTCCTAGCCAAAGAAATAAAATGTTTTTAAGCCAACCATTTATCAGAGCACCTATAGGATGTGAATGTGACAGCAATTGCAATGAGAAATAAATAACAAAAAAATAAATGCAAACCTTTGTGAATGTGTAGGTCCCTTTGCATCTTAAACACTGATGAAAATATGTATATTTTAAATATAGATGTTCACAGTTAAAATTAAATTATAAATTAATTTATAATTAACAACATTGATCAGAGATCTTCAGTTTAAAAATTGTTCAAAGAAGTGGGATCACGGAATCCTAATTCCTCAGTAGATAATATGGTGAATAATTATTATTTTTTAAAGGCCAAATATTTACCAGTAACAACCAATCTGAAAAAGGGACTTTAAACTGTAAATCTTGAAAAGCAGCTGCCAAGGAAAGAAGCTATATTCAAACATCCTGCTAACTGCTCTTAATCATGGTCTGCCCCCATGAAATGTTCCTAGAAAAGAAGTTGTATCTATAAAACATGACAGGTTTCACTGATATCCTCCAGTTTGGAGAGAAGCTAACTTAAGGGATGAACAAGGAAAGCATGGCAAAGGTCAAGAAAGAGCCTCTCCTAGATTACAACACCTGCATACCCCTGTAGAACCTCTCTCTGCTGAAGGCTTGGTATTTTCCAAGGAATTGTGGAGTTAGGGAAATGAAAAAAAAAATGAGATAAAGCAATTAACATCAAGACACAAAGTTTTCAATTTATAAAATTGAGTGATAAAGACAAGTTCAGCAGATGACAGAAAGAAAAAGAAATTTACCTGTGTGGGTGAAAACAGTGGCTGAACTCATACTTTTCTCTTGCCAACAGCAATGTATAAAAAATTCTGGGGAAGCAAAATTTGACTCAAGAATTTGGTAATTGAATTGCCATTCAGGTATTAAATTGAAAGAGCTTGAGGAATAAAACTTCTATAATTATATTTGAAAATATCATTTAGTGATGGGATCCAGGAAACTGAAAAAAAAAAAAGTGAGTCAAAATAAAAAAATAACTTGTTATAGGGAAACAGAGAGAAAAGGCATGTATTGGGCACTAATTTGAATTAATTAAAAATAAGTAAAGAATTCAAGAAATCAAAAGTAAGTAGTATAACTTCCATAAGTGCTATGTTCTATAAGCAACCAAAATTAGGGTGTGAGGGAAGAGAAGGTAGAAGTAAGTTGGAGGATGTTAAAGTCTTTTCATCATCATAGGAAATCTGTATTGCATAAATGGAAGCACATATTTAAAATAACATAAACACTGTGTCTCAATGTCATGATGGTTTTCATATTTGCTTTTCTTCAAAGGGATCTAATAGGAACCAGCTAACATTAACATCTTGACATGAGAAAAAATGTATCTAAAAATTGAAATATAGAATTTGGTATCATTTCATTTTTTTTGCTTTAAAATTATGTCAAAATTAAATTAAAATGTTCAGTTAAAGTGCTTTGTTTACTTTTGAAAAACAAAAAATAAATTGCAGGATTGTCTGAATTCCAGATGTTTGCTATGGAGTGCTTTTCTAAGATAGAACATATATTTGCTGATGATAATACTACATGGTATTGAGGCTCATTACACTTTGCTATGATAACAAAACTGATCTCAATAAACTAATTGGTGGGAGCCTTCGTGCTAAGTTAAGGCTTGCATGTTAAAATAATGCATCCATATTGATTTTCTGTTCTCTAGGTCAAGGTTTTTCGGGTGATTACCATGAATATTTTGGACTTCAAGTAGATGAAGATGCCTTGATTTATCTCATGTTGGCAAATCATTTGATTCACACGTTGTATCCAGATTCTGTAACAGTAGCTGAGGTAAAGCCATAATGATCTCTCCCCTCGGACCCCCTTTAATATAGAACATTCTGTCACAGCATACAGTATTTTAATGATTAATCTCATGTTGTCAATAATTGCATAAGCGAAATTATGCTGTGACTATAGTGCAGCTATCTTGTATGGGTGGCACATTATTTAGAATGCAGTGTTTTTTTATTAGGAGATAGTATGCACTAATTACTTGTCATCATTTCATTGTTACAGAAGAAAATGCCAGTGGTTAGAAAGTAAAATATCCTAATCAGTGGACAGGTCCTTCCTCCATGAGACCTTCAACGGAGAAAAGAATTGAATATTAATGTGTGTCTGGTTTATTTATTTATTTATTTTTTCTTTTCTGGTTTAATCATTAGAGATGGCATGGCTCACTGCCTGCAAGCTTCTCTGAAGTCTCTCTTGTTCTGATGCGATTACCTTTCTTGTTTATGTTATTGCTCTTGGATTGCCAAATGTTCACTAGTTATTCATGATTACTGAAGGTTCATGATTAACTGTCCCAAAGCTGCACTGTAATGATATAATTCGGTATATGCATAATTGACAATTCCCCTCTTGGTGATAAATGTGATAAATTAAGAAGTTTGTTAAATGCTTATGCTAATTTAGATTTAGTTCTAAAAATCCCTCTGGTTTTCTGAGTCCTCTTACTAGAAATTATTATTAAAATTGAATTTAGTATGTTAAAACTGTTCTGTACAAAGTGTAGTGGTTGGCATATGAAAATAGCAAGAAGATCGTTAAAAGAGTCAGAGTTCAGTTGTATTTGCACATTGTTGGCATTTAGTTCATGGGAATGAAATGCAGTAGTGACGGTCTCCTTTCTGTGGTATTTATTATTTGTATAGACTTTTTTCTATCCATCTTTTCTCAAAACCCTGACTCTTCAACTAGATGGAATGATTTCCTTGTTTATCTTTGAATAGAGAACAGTTCCTTTCTTTAGACATTTTGTCTTCTAAATATATTCTAGGAACAGAGAAATGGACCCTAAATTTCTAGAATAAATTCTAACACAGATTTTTTAAGAACACAATTATAATAACATTTTGATAAACCTGTATTATTCTACACTATCTACCTGTCTAAATTTGGTCATATCTGATAAATCTTGCTAATACTTGTGCTAATTACTTTATGTGCCGAGTATCTTTTAATGTCAGAGTGTATTTTAAACTTATTTTGTCTTTTATATGAATTTATTTTATCTGTCAAACATCAAAAAACTTTGTCAATTATATTTATGACAATTCAAAGCAGAGACAGTATAAATGAAAAGTTACTACAAACAATTAATGATAGTACAAATCAAAAGTGGGTACTGGAAAAAAAGAAGCAATTATTTAATACATGAAACTTAAAATTGTTACATTGATCTTTCCGTTCATTTCAAGTAAAATAGTTTCATGATCTAGGGAGCCCTTGTCTGATTATCAGTGTTTCTACCAATAAAACTTTGAGACTTTAGCCTACTTTATATTACTTGGTTTTAGATTTTTTTTAACAAGATGTATCTTCAATTTATTCTACTTAAATTGAAAACTACTTCAATTTCAGTACATCACTTTTCTGTCTAGTGGGAGTCTCTTCAAAATGTGAAATTGATCCTCATGAACTTTTTTTTTAAGAAAGGAATGTGGTGTAACAAATAAGTAATGTAATTTATATAAAGTCCTATAGTAGAAATCTAAATTTATTTATGACAGTTACTAAAATTGAAGACTTTTTTTTTTTCCTAGAATGTATCTACCATTTCCCATGGTTCTATTTGCTATATTAATTAAAAGTATTTTTTGATTGAGGTTTTCTCCCCCTTTTGGAATAGTCATAAGATATCCTTAGATATTAAAAAATAAAACTACTTCAACTTTATTTTGAACACATGGTTATTTTTAGATGCTACGTTGGTAGGTATTGACTTTTTTACATTTAAAGTATATTTATTTTAGTGGCCTTTATGTTTACTTTTTTTTTTCCTTTTAAGATTTTAAAAGGAAAAGGAAAAGGATAGTCATAACTCTTCTCTTCCGAAAGATAGCTACAAATATCTCATGTGCATTAATGGAGTAGCTTTCTAGGATTCAGATTTAGGAGTCAAGACCAATTGGTGTCCAAATGTTTTTCTTAGCATATTCTATTTCCTATCAAAGTATTCCTAAAACTATCTTTAGAACAAATATAGAATGCGCCTTAAGGTTTCTTGAGAAAATTATCTTGATCTTTAATACCAGCCTATCACCAGTCTTAGGAAAACTTAGTCTCATGAAAACTCTTCTGGGGAAGTTATTTTGTCTATAATTCCAGTGCCTAACACGAGTGTCTGGTATTTAATACATATTCAACCAATGTTTATAAGGAACCAAACTAAATGCCTACTATAATAGTGAAAATATGACATATTATAAGATATAACCTTTTAATTTTTTTTCTGTTAAGCATTCATCCTTTCACTTTTTTGTCCCTTTTTTCAGTTATAAACTATGAAGTACTATATAGAAATAAGATATTATTGCAAATACTTCATTTTCTAACAGATATATTCCACTCTGCATTATATTTAAATGTATCTCTCTTTCATTAGAAAACAATAAATTATTTTAGAAGTCCAAAGAGGTCATATATTTCTTTTTTTACCAGATTTTCTGTGTGAAGAGTTTGGGGATAGTGTTGTATATGAAGAAGTATTTGAGTTAAGTTTCAGAGAGCTCAGAGTATGTGATAGTCTTTTATAGAAAGTAAGGATAATAATGCAAGGAAGAGTTTGGGCAGTGACACGCATAGAAGAGTTTGTGACAAGCACAGGGAAGAGTAAATATTCCAAAGTGAATGATGTATTTAGTACTTGAAATATAATAGTAGAAATTATGGTGGAAAGCTATAGGTCTCTCCGTTGGCGTTTTCTGTGTACTTAACAATTACAACAACTACATCACATTATCATTTCATGATAATAAGTGTGTATATGTTTAGTTAGGTTCTATTTATAAGGAAGTTATATGAAGGTCAGATATTATGTCTTATTTACCTTTAAATTCCTGACAGTACCTTTATTCATTCACTCACAAAATGGTATTGAGTTCCTGCTTTATGCCAAGTACTCTTATACTACTCTGAATTCTTGGCATATATCAGTGAACAGCAAAACCCACAAAACCCTTGTCCCATGGATCTCACATTCTAACAGAAAGTAAGGAGGCAAATAATCAAATAGGAAATCATATTGTTAATACTTAAAGTATGATTGTTGAATTGAATCTTTAGCTAAAGAAGTTCAGTTTTTGGTTATTGGCTATTGGAAGCTACTGATGGGCAGTGATAGGGCACTGTCTTATAAGATGTTAATTTTGGGGGCACCTGGGTGGCTCAGTTGGTTAAGCGCCCAACTCTTGATTTTGGCTCAGGTCATGATCTCGGAGTCATGAGATGAAGCCCTGTGTTGGGCTCCACACTCAGTGGGGAGTCTGCTTTCCCCTCTTTCTCTCTCTCTCTCTCCCCCCGCCTTCACTTTCTGTTCCCCCACTTGTGCTCTTGCTCTCTCTCTCTAAAATAAATAAATCTTTAAAAAATATATTAATTTGGCAGCAGTTAGAGTGAAGGGAAACTGGAGATGGGGAATTCCATTTGGAAGCATAGTGGTCTAAGCAAGGAGTAATGAATATTAAATAAGACTATAGAAATGGAACAAGGGAAATAAGGCTATAGAAACGGAACAAGGGAAAAGGATTTATTTGAAAGATGTCGTAGAGTTAGAATTGCTAATTTGTGACTCATATTTCACCATAGTTGCTGGTATATTTTGCTACATCTGGATCCTTATACCATCTTTTTTTTCTTATGTGTTTATTTGATTATCAGTAATAATCTAGTGGTGGCATGACAGAGAAGGAAGACACTCTGTTGAAGGTCCTGACATCTGAGTCCTGACTCTACTCTTGAGAAACATCTCTTTAGAGATCCCTTCACCCAAGTGAGCTTCAGTTTCTGTAGCTTCTAGATGAAGAGGAACCACCAGATAACCTTAAGACCCATTTCAAGTGTAGCTGACTATACTGAAAGCCATCTTATTGCTTCATACTTAATGTACTAAGTCTTTTTCTATCTCATCAGAAGTTAGGTCCTCACAAAATACACACCTTGCCAGTACTGTATGCGAAGAGAATAAGTACAACAGATATATGCCACATGTATTTTTGTGTTTGATGAAAGCAATAGCAAAATGTTCATACATTAGCTCAAAAATAAGTCTAAGAAACTATGTTTTGGCAGTAATCATCTTACTCTTTTGTGTTCTCTATCTTGTGATACTAAGGAAAAGAAAAATAAAATCCCCTCATGAGATTGAAATTGTCCTGCATTGAAAAGCATTACACAAAATGTGTTAGTGGGAAATGAGATATGCTGTCTTGGTTGTAACTACTTTTACAATTCTGCTGTCCAAACATTCCAAAAATATATGCTCCCATTTACTGTTTTTATTTATTGGCCCAGAATTTACTGTCAAAAATATAGTAAGAATCTGAGCAATGTGAATTGATAATGCTGATGTATTTTGTTGCAGGATGTATCAGGAATGCCAGCTGTCTGTTCTCCGATTTCCCAGGGAGGGGTTGGCTTTGACTATCGATTAGCCATGGCAATTCCAGATAAATGGATTCAGGTAAGATTTCATGCAATTTTTTTTTCCTGTAAATACTCTGTATTATGTTGGTTTATTTCTTATTTCTTTGATTTATTTCTTAATTTGTGGTAATTAGTTACAAATATTATAATTATTATAACTGAAGTATTAAATTTTCCCACTAGTGTGTTGATTCTTGTGCTTTTTAATAAGGTACTTCACAAACTTCTAAAAGTTCTAGTTTAAAGTATTCATACTTGAGTTATTCAGATAAGGGGAAAATATTAATATAACTTTAGCTGTGTACATGGAATTTTGCATTATCAGTGCAGTTTTATGAAACTTCAGTGCTCTATATTTAAGACACATTAAACATCATCAAGGCATCCATTTCTGCCTCCAAATCATCAATGTAGAAGTTACTCCTTAATTCCCAGTACTTGCTTCATAACATGTTTCTTCCTCAATAGATTTGGATTCATCCATTCCTTTACTTAACATTTAGAAATCCTTACCATGTGTCAAGCAGTAGGGATGAATAATTGTACATGACACCTTGCACATAATTTGTAATACAATTTTATTAAATTTAATAACATTTAAGTACCTTGGATTATATTTCGTTTTATTTAATATTTGCCTAAAAGACCAATGTTGTTACATAGACTTAGATTTGACATAGAACATTTTTGAGTGGCTATGTCCATAATCCTAGGCTGAACATGTGTAAGAAGTCAGCTATGTCTCGAATAATCATAGCCTTCTGATGAACCCTTTGGTACAGACATGAACTGGGGCCATGACATCACAGGGACAGACCCGTAGAACTTTGCATAGAAAAACCGTGGAGCCCACTCTGAAGGAAGTGGTTACTATAATCCTGTCTTAACTTTCTATCTTGTGCCCCCAGGCAATTTGTGCAATGCACAGCTGTGACTAAATCTTTACCAACATAATTTCTGCTTCTCCATTTATAATGATTCCTTAGACATTGTCAAGTTAAAAAAGCAAATGTTTTCCAGAGATGATTAGACTCAGAAATCAAAGAAACAAATATGTATTCTAGCTTTAACACCTGGGAAAGTTGCTTTATATCTGTCATTTAAAAAAATGCTGTGGTCTTCAGTTTTCTCACCTTGGTTTAAGGGTCTTTACCCACCATCTTTTAGGATTTCTAATTTTCCACGCAAACTTTTTTTTCCCTCACTAATGCCAAATCTTCCTTTTTTCACCTCCTACTGGAAAGCCTTCACCAGTTTTTGTGCAGATTCAAGAATATTTCAAGGTGTACATCAACCTATAATTATAGCCCACAGTGGGATATTTCCTTCTCTGAACAATGATGACAGTTTTTTTTTTTTTTAAGATTTTATTTATTTATTTGACAGAGAAAGACACAGTGAGAGAGGGAACACAAGCAGGGGAAGTGGGAGAGGGAGAAGCAGGCTTCCCGCGGAGCAGGGAGCCCGCTGCGGGGCTCGATCCCAGGACCCTGGGATCATGACCTGAGCCGAAGGCAGACGCTTAACGACTGAGCCACCCAGGCGCCCCAATGATGACAGTTTTAAAAGAAAGAATTAATTTAACTTATGAAACATTTTAGTACCTTGTATGCTCAAGGTACTGTACTAGTCAGTACCTCATAAGAATGGAAAATATATTGTCCTATGTATAGGATATGACCATCGTGTCTTCTTAGATCGTGAATTCTCTAAAGGCACATGTCATTTTCTATTTTATATAATTATTTAAAAATCTTTGCATCACCGAAGTGGTTAATAAGACAAGAGACAGTTAAAACAATATCTTTTAAAAACTCAGTGATTTCCCCTACTTATGTAATTTGTACATTTAAAAAGATAATACCATAAACAACTACTGTTTCCCTAAATGTCAGTAAAGCACACAAGGGTATTAATCCAAATGATAGCTGTACTCAGAATGTATGTGATATTCATCGTGATTTACCCATAGGGTCTGAGTTAGATTAGAATGCTACATTTCATTCATGTTTTTATTGTTCAAAAACAAATTGTTTACCACTTTCTACTTCTATTAGTTCAAAGTCAGTAGTTTGGAATATCACATTTAATCATACTTAATCACTTACTGAACAAATATTTGCCTATCTAAAATATGGCAAATTTGCAGCATCTCTTTTCATTTTGTTGCTCATTTTTATTACCTACCTACCTTTTTTCACCTTTTTATGTTAAATTGATGTAAGTATTTAATTGAATTCATTCATTATACATTAATTCCACCAAATGTTTATTAAGCACCTTGTATTTTTTTTTTAAAGATTTTTTTATTTATTCATTCAAGACACAGAGATAGAGAGAGAGAGAGAACATGAGCTGGGGGAGAAGCAGAGGGAGGGGGAGAAGTAGACTCCCCTCCGAGAAGGGAGCCCGATGCGGGGCTCCATCCCAGGACCCTGGGATCATGACCTGAGCTGAAGGCAGATGCTTAACCATCTGAGCCACCCAGGCGCAAGCACCTTGTATTTTTATTATATAAAGTTTTTCAATTAAACTTTTTATATGAAGATAATTGTAGATCCCCATGCGGTTGTAAGAACAGTTGTAATACAGTGAGATCTGGTGCACTCTTAACCAGTATTCCAAAGTCTCACAACTAGGATACTGACAACTGATGTAGTTAAGGTATAGAATATTTCCATCACCATAAAGTTCTTTCATGTTGTTCCAATCACTTTTTAACCTGTGGCAACCACTCTGATCTCCATTTCTGTAATTTTTTTTTCATTTCAAGAATGTGATATAGGGGCGCCTGGGTGGCTCAGTCGTTAAGCGTCTGCCTTCAGCTCACGTCATGATCCCAGGGCCCTGGGATCAAGCCCTGCATCAGGCTCCCTGCTCAGCGGGAAGCCTGCATCTCCCTCTCCCACTTCCCCTGCTTGTGTTCCCTCTCTTGCTGTGTCTCTCTCTGTCAAATAAATAAATAAAATCTTAAAAAAAAAAAAAAGAATGTGATATAAATGAAATCATATAATATGTCACCTTTTGGGATTGCCATTTTTCACTCAGCAGAATTCTCTGGAGATTCATATAGGTTGTTGCATGTATCAGTAGTTTATTCCTTTTTATTGCTGAATGATATTCCAGGGTATGGATATGCCACGGTTTGCTTAATCATTTACCCATTATAGACATCAGTATTGTTTCTAGTTTTTGGCTATTGCAAATAAAGCTGCTATAAACATGTGTGTGCAGATTTTTTATGGCCATAAATTTTAATTTCTCTAAGATAAATGCACAAAAGTGCAATTACTGGGTCATGTAATAGTTGGATATTTGAGTAGTTGCATATTTAATTTTTTAAGAAACTGCCAAACTTGTCCAGAGCAACTGTACCATTTACATTCCCACCAGCAATTTTTTAAGAAACTGCCAAACTTGTCCAGAGCAACTGTACCATTTACATTCCCACCAGCAATGAGATCCAGTTCTGTACATCCTTGCACCTACTTTAATCATTCTAATAGGTCTAACTCTGGTTTTAATTTGCATTTCCTTAGTGGCTTATGATGATGAACATCTTTTCATGTGTTTATTTGTCTTCTATATATCCTCCTTGATGAAATGTCCATTCATATCTTTTGACCGTTTTCTAATTGGATCATTTGTTTGCTGTGGAGTTTTGAGAGTTCTTTATATAATTTAAATTAAACTCTTATTGGACATGTGGTTGGCAAATGTTTTCTCCCATTCTGTTGCTTATCTTTTTATCCTGTTCATGTGGACTTTGACAGAGCAAAAGTTCTTTGTCTACATTAAATTTGGTGAAGTCCAGTTTATCATTTTTTTCTTATAGAGACCTTTTTTGGTGTCGAGTCTAAGAATTATTTGACTCTCCTATGTTTTCTTTCAAACATTTTATACTTTTATATTTAAGTCCATGGCCCATTTTGAATTAATTTTTGTGCAATCAATGTTTAAGACTTAGTTCCTTAGTTCAAGTTTGTTTCTTTTCTTTTCTTTTCTTTCTTTCTTTCTTTCTTTCTTTCTTTCTTTCTTTCTTTCTTTTTTTTTTTTTGCAATTTCTGACTCTTTTACTGTGATTTGTTGAAAAGTCTATCCTTCCATTGATTTGTGTTTGCACTGTAGTCAAAAATTAAGTGGGCATATTTGTGTAGGTCTATACATTAGTGTGAAATTGTTGCTGTACCTAATTACCACAACAGTGTCTTAAAACAACACAAATTTACTATTATATAGTTCTCATAGTTCTGTAGGTCACAATCTAAAATGGATCTTATTAGACTAAAATTAAGGCATTGGCAAGGCTTCACTTCTTCTGGAGGCTCTAGTTCCCTTGCCTTTTCTAAAGGCTTCTAGTTTTTAAAAAGCCACCTATACTCCTCAGCTTGTGGCCCCTTCTCCATCTTCAAAGCCAGCAAGGTAGCATCTTCAGATTTCTCTCTTACTCTGACAACTCACTCCCCCTTTTGAGAAAGATCCCTATAATTACATTGGACCCATCCAGGTTATCCAGGATAATCTTTCCCTTTCAATGTATTTGACTTTATCACCTCTAAAGTCCTTTTGCATGTAAGGCAACATGAATATGGCTCTGGGCATTAGGATGTGAACATCTATGGGTGGTCATTATTATTCTGCCTAACACAGTCTGCTGTGTGGTGTCTAACGATTCACATTGAAATTCTGAGAGATGGCTAAACACATCTGAATTCCTTGGACAAAAGTCAACAAAGGAAGATTCAAGGAGGCCTGAACCCCATTTCTTGTACCAAAATCTGCCTTATTTTTGCATTAGTTGCTGTGCAACAAATTACCACAAATCTAGTAACTTAAAACATTACTCAGTTGCTATCTCATGATTTCTTCGAGGGACATCCATCATATTCCAAGGTCCCACCTCCACTTTAGGTAAAGGATTGCACAAAGATGTGAATCTGGAGGGGCAGGAATCATGGGGACCATCTTAGAATTCTGCCTATCAGAGTACAATTGACACTTTGGACAGAGGAATGAACCCAGGCAGAAAAAGTGTATTGAGTAGAAGAAAGAGGCTATTTTTAGGAGTAACTTTCAAGAGCACCAGCTTTATAGGATAGGCAGAGGGAGAGACTGCAGGATGCCTAGAGTGGTAGGAAAACAAAACAAAACAATCAGGAGTCTCACAGTGTAGACTGAGATGGAAAGTGCCTCATGGGAAGGGATAGAGTCAGCACTCTCAACACATACAGCAAATAGTTGCCTAAGAAAAAGTATTACCTAAGAGACCGTCATCTGCAATCTTGGCAAGGTCATTTGCATCGAAATAGAGCAGAAGCCAGCTCGGAGACTGAGTGATAACTGAAGTGGAGAAAGAAATGTGTGGTCTGGGGGCGCCTGGGTGGCTCAGTCGTTAAGCATCTGCCTTCGGCTCAGGTCATGATCCCAGGGTCCTGGGATCGAGCCCCATGTGTCGGGCTCCCTGCTCAGTGGGGAGTCTGCTTCTCCCTCTCCCACTCCCCCTGTTTGTGTTCTCTCTCTCGCTATGTCTCTCTCTGTCAAATAAATAAAATCTTAAAAAAAAAAGAAAAAAGAAATGTGTGGTCTGTTAAGATGGTAATTATTTCATGATAGTCTTTAAACTTTGAAATGACAGGGTTTTTTTTTTTAGTTATCATTTTTTTTTTAAAGAATGGAACAAAACATTATTCCTGCTAAAATTTTCTTTAGTCAAACCTAAAGATGTAGCAAGTATATCTCTCTCTTGTGAAAGAGACAAAAAGATAATGTGCACAGTAACACCTCACTGTGGTCTTAATCAAGAGGTAGCAGTTGTTACAGTGAGAAAAAAAGGTTGAAAAAAGCCCAAAGTGCCGTGAACAAACCATCTGCACAAAAGCAAACACACCCACGCCCCACATCACTGTCATTTGGTCAGTCTGTATAAAAGCTTTGATTTTAGTAAAAAGTTTAACCAAAGATGTTTTTGCTACATGGGTGCCCTTGTATCTACATGTCAAGTAATTTGGATTGATATGATGGATGCCTTCAGATAGTGACTTAAGGTGAGAACAATAATGGTTTATTCAAATGATTTTCTCTCTTGCATTTAGCTACTTAAAGAGTTTAAAGATGAAGACTGGAATATGGGCAATATTGTGTACACACTCACAAACAGACGCTACCTTGAAAAGTGCATTGCTTATGCCGAGAGCCATGATCAGGTAAATGAATATGTGTACAAATTAATTGTGGCTTTCTTTGTATTTATTAACATATCTAATACAAACCTATCTAAATGCAAATCTCTATAGTTTAATACAGTTAATATAATTTATATCTATCTTTACGTGAAAACTGCTTATACTTGAAAAACATTTTAAAATTACTTTGCAGATCTATAAATTCCAGCTTCAAAATGCAGCACTATTTTTACTCTGCCAAACTGTAATTAAAAAATTGTAAATGACAGTTGCAAGTGTTCTCTTACATGTTTTCCTTTGTTGTAACAAGAGGAATATTGGTGCTGATCCAGGTTAATTTTAATTTCCGTTTTAGATTTCCTTCTAGAGGTTTTCTTTTATGCCTTTTGATAAGCTTTCATCATTTTTTTCCTGCAATCACTGAAATCTCTTGCTAGGTAATTACCCTGACCCCTGTTTGTCCAGCTTTGGCCCATCCTTTCTAATGCAGCCTGAGGTATCTTCCGAAGAGCAAAGCTCATTTCGTCAACCCAGATCTTTTGATTAAATCTTCTCATTCAAGCCCACTCATATTCTGGCCTAAGCCAAAGTTTCCACCTTCATTCTCTGCTCACCTCTCCAAGCATTTTATTTTTCAGTACAATAAAATTCCCACCCATTCCTGAATAAGTCAACCTTGTTCCAATCTTGTAATTTCCCCCACACACCTGCAAGTGTCTAGTGCACCTGGGAAGCTTCTGTGAAGTCCTACTGTCCTGCCTCAGATGTCATATTCTCCCTCAAGACCTCATCTAGTTGTATAGGGAAAAATAGTTGCCTCATCCTCCATGCTTTCATCACATTTTAGGCAGAACATTTGTTTCCATTACCTTTAGATTTTCAGCCTTAGCACTGTGACTGCTTCTAGTAGTTGTTCAATAAACATAAGTAAGTGGGGGAACAAAGGCCATTTAGTTATATAAAGCCATATCAAACCTCATAAGCATAAGTAACATAAGTACTCTTTATACATTAAAAAGGAGACAGTAAAAATTTTTGAAATTATTTGCATGGAGCACCGGGGTGACTCAGTCAGTGAAGCGTCTGACTCTTGGTTTCAGCTCAGGTCATGATTTCAGGGTCCTGAGATCCAGCCTGCACCCAGGCCCATGCTCAGCGTGGAGTCTACTTGAGAATATCTCTCTTCCTGCCCCGCCTCTGGCTCACACTCTCTCTCTCCTCTCTCTAAAAGGAATAAATAAATAGATAAAATCTTTAAAAAAAGGAAATTATTTCCAGTATGTGTATTAAGAAAATTGAAGCTCAAACAATAAGCTTGTTATTTTTGAAGAAATTGACCATTTAAGGTAAACAGGTAGATTTTCAGGTGTATTCTCTAATTAATAAGAAAGTCTAGGGGCGCCTGGGTGGCTCAGTCATTAGGCGTCTGCCTTCGGCTCAGGTCATGATCCCGGGGTCCTGGGATCGAGCCCCTCATCGGGCTCCCTGCTCAGCAGGAAGCCTGCTTCTCCCTCTCCCACTCCCCCTGCTCGCGTTCCCTCTCTGGCTGTGTCTCTCTCTGTCAAATAAATAAATAAAATCTTAAAAAAAATTTTTTTTTAAAGTCTAAGTAGACCAGAGGTCAGCTACTAAGGCCCATGGGCCAAGTTCTGCCTGCTGCCTATTTTTGTAAAGGTAATTGGAACACAGCCATGTTCATTCACTTATGTATTGTCTATGGGTGCTTTTGAGCCATAATGGCAGATTTAAGTAGTGGAGACTGAGCAAGTGTCCCACAATGCCTAAAATATATACTAGGTAGCCTTTACAGAAAGTTTTCTGACTCATGCTGTAAACCTATATTAAATTTTGTATCTTTCAAATCAGGGCAGGGCTTTCTTTTCAACTTAAATTGGCCATAGAGCAAATCAAATACCTACAAAAAATCAGAACCAAAATCTAAAAAATTAAAAATGGATAATATAACCATGGAGGAACTCTCACCAAATACATAACAATATGAAAACTAAGATGCATGTATAAATTCTTTATATTGCAGACTCCTAGCAATTATAACATATTTTGAGCTCCATAGATACATTTATTTTATATAAATGAATAAAAGAATAAATGAGTGGATTAAACAAATTGAAGATGAAACAGATTATTTTTATAGTTTTCTTCCCAAAATGTACAGAAAATTATAGAATTATTTCATACTTTGAAGATTCAGGTAATTCTGCCTTTTATTACAAATTGTTGGAATATACAAAAAGATGCAAGTTTCCTAGTTCTTTCTAAAAGCAAAAATAGGGCACCTGGGTGGCTCAGTTGGTTAAACATCTGCGTTGGCTCAGGTCATGATCTCAGGGTCCTGGGATGGAGCCCCACGTCAGGCTCCCTGCTTCTCCCTCTCCTTCTGCTGCACCCCCTGCTTGTGCTGTCTCTCTCTCTGTCAAATAAATAAATAAAATCTTTAAAAAAAAAGAACCAGTACTAATAACTATTTAACAAATAGATCTACGTTGTCTTCAAACTTCTTTAACAATGGAGCCTACTTAGTGAGTCACGCTTCTATAGCACTCGAAGTTGTATGTCAGATTGAAGCTGCATTTTATTGGTATGTGTTTCAGTCTCCTAGGGCTGCCATAACAAAATTCCACAGACCGGGTGGTCTAAACAACAGAAATTTATTTCTCGCCATTCTGGAGGTTGGTAGTCCAAGATCAAGGTGTCAGCAGGTTCAGTTTTTCCTGAGGCCTCTGCCCTAGGCTTGTAGATGGCCATCTTCTTTCTGTTCTCACACGGTCTTTTTTTGTGCACACTCATCCCTGGTGTCTCTTCTTCTTCATATAAGGACTCCACTCATATTGGATTAGAGCCTCACTCTTATGACCTTATTTAATCTCGATTACCTCTTTATAGGCCCTCTCTCTAAATCATAGTCACATTGGAGGTTAGTACTTCAACATGAATTTGGGGTGGGCACAGTTCAGTCCATAACTGTACACATCCACTTTATATGTTTAGATTTAAAATTTTATCTGTAAGTCGGAGAACAAAGAGTCTACTTTGATAAAGTGAAATAGTTTGAACTCAAGTAATATAGATGACAATTACTATCTAATCAAACTCTGAAAATTCTTAGCCAGGAACCATATTCTGAGCCAATTCTTTTTTGGCCCTTAAAATAATTCAGATTGTTAAAAAGCCTCTCTTCTACTACTCAGGATGTTTCTGAATTACCTGCCCCATTTATCAACTGTTATATTTTCGTATAAAATAAACTAATTTTAGATTAGATGCCAAATTCAATGAAAAAGCAAATTTTACATTTTAAGGAAAAGCTGTCAGCCCTCTGCTGAAGGGGAATAGGGTCCATTTTACTATATATATGTACATATTTTATATATATAAATACATATACATAAATATAAATACATATGCATATAAATGATTTTTAAGAAAGTCTTCCATTCTTCCAAAACAAACAAAATCATGGCAATGCAAGCTATTTTTAAAGTTTATTTATAATGATGTAATGTGTGGTGCTCAACATAACAATAAAAAATTTAAAAAATAAAATGAAATTTAGTATTCTCAACATCATAATAAATATTTATTCCAATTTCAGAGAATTTGAAGCATCAGCTCAGGTATAGCAAATATTCAGGTGGCTTATCCTGAGTTTTCACCAAGCTCTTTAAAAATAAAAATCCATCCTGAAAATAGTGCTGATCTCCGACCAGCTCACCTGATTTTACCTGTTCTCCTTCTACATAGAAAGCAACTATTGAAAAACACATGAAATTAATATTAATTCAAACACCTCTCCTTCATCGTTTCCCATCCCGTGTAATCCTGTGTTATTCTAGTATAAATCACAACTGCTTAGCACCTATTCCTTGCATTTATCTCAGTGACTTTTATTCCCATAGGCACTCGTTGGGGACAAGACACTGGCATTTTGGTTGATGGATGCTGAAATGTATACCAACATGAGTGTTCTGACCCCATTTACTCCAGTTATTGATCGTGGAATACAGCTTCATAAAATGATTCGACTCATTACTCATGCTCTTGGTGGAGAAGGCTATCTCAATTTTATGGGTAAGTATGAGTTGAACACATATCCCATCTATGTTCAGAACGTTAACTAATATTACATATGACATAAATCATGTAGAATAGTTTGAATTACTGTTCAGATTTAAAACAGGAAATTACAACTCTGTTTCTTTTCATACACTGTCCTATATAAGCTGCACAAATTAAATTACTGTAAAATCATTGTTATACTAATACATGATGCAAAAGTAGTCTAATAGCTGGCATTTTATTTAATGTTTTTGTCAACAAGTGGGGTGAACTATTTTTAAAACTTAGAATTATTCTGAATTTAATCACTGGAGTTTATTATATTAGTGTTCACACATTAAACATAAGAAAGATATAATTGTCATGGCATGACATATCAAGCTAAGATTATTGGTCTTTGAGGTAATTGTACACCAGTATGTTTATATTATAAATGTGAAAACCAAGGCAAAGGATATTGTGATAGACAAAAATATTTATATATATTTATTTTAAAAATAGGAAAACTATGAATATTCAAAGGTCATTGTTGTCCTAAGGATCTTGAATGATAAGATATAGAAGTCAACAAATAATATTTTCTGTTCTATTTGGTCAACAACGGTCATTTGAGCATTTCTAAGTTTTAGGAGATTTCACCAGTTTTTAGACTAGAGAGAGATAGAAAGGCTGGGAAATGTATATGAGAGGCTGACTTACTTTTCTATAGTGAAAGCCTTAGAAGAGCTTCAAATTAATTCATGTCTATCTGGAAATTTGTATAAGGAACCTCAGATTGGACTTTTAAAAGTCTCTGTTGTTAATTCAGTCAATCAGGCAATCAGTCTCTATTGTTTGCTAACTTGAGGTTAGGAAGCCCACCCCTATAAACTAGTGTATTCCTCTCCTAGGATCAACAAAATTTGTTAATAGTCCTAAGCTGTCCGGAAGTGACCTTCCCGAGGTGGGAGACTGCACTGAGCCAGCCAGGCTGCAGGCCAGGTTCCCTGAGTGGAGTTTGCAGGCATTATATCCATAAGTAAAATCAGCCTCAGTTCCTTAAAAGCAGCTGGTCTTCACTGACCCAATAAACATTGTTCACAAATATAGCCATTCCAGTAAGGCCTTAGTTGCACAATCAATTTTTTCAATTATATCCTGATAAAAAGATAGGGTCTATGAACCTGTGTAAATATGTTACCATGTGAAGTAAGGAGAAGTGGGGAGTTAGTGAGAGATTTTTTTTAGTGTTTTATTTCATTTTCAAAAGCAGTTCATGAAGTTGTTATACTCTAAGATAGCTTAAAAAGAAATGGAATGGGCTTCCTTGTATGTGTGGAAACTAAAACAGTTTTCCAAACAGAGAGCCAAAATAAAACCTCCGAGTTTATGCAGTCAGTCCTATGTCATTAATTCTTGAAGCCGACTGCATTCAAAACTTCTAGTAATCTTGGGGCACCTGGCTGGCCCAGTGAGTAGAGCATGCATGCGATCCTTGATCTCGGCGTCATGAGTTTGAGCCCCATACTGGGCATGGAGCCTGCTTAAAAAAAATAATTAAAAAGAAAAAAAAGATCCTTAAAAAAAAAGAAAAGAATTCTAGGAATCTTGACTCAGTTTACTGCTTTAGTCTGGAAGTTGTGTAGGCAATGTCAATTTAGAAGCCTATACCTAATGAGTGGAGAGTGTGGGTAGTTTGAAGTACTTAATAAAGTCCTTTTCCTGAGACTGTCGTCCTTTGTGGAAGACAGTTCTAGCCTATAGCCCATAACAGAACCTGCAGGCAAGCATCAAACAGACTACACATGACAGAGATTTAACAGCCTTAGTTAAATTAATATTGATAACTTTTAAATAAGAAAGATCTGATTCAAATTCATATTAAGAATTATTTCCTGGGACGCCTGGGTGGCTCAGTCGGTTAAGCGTCTGCCTTTGGCTCAGATCATGATCCCGGGGTCCTGGAATCAAACCCCACATCTGGCTCCCTGCTCAGTGGGGAACCTGCTTCTCGCTCTTCCTCTCCCCCTCCTTGTGCTCTCTGATAAATAAATAAAATCTTTTAAAATATTAAAAAATATATATTATTTCCTGAGTCTTGGTGTATATTCCATGAGGGTAAAAATGGGTCATGGACAGCTAGGACATTAACAAATCTCAGTAATTTCATAAGCTTTGTGAAGTATTTATATTAATAATCACCTTAACTGTATATATTCCACCTAGGGCAGGCTGAGCATCTGTTTTGTTTTGAAAACTCTTCCCATAGTAACAATAAATAGTAACAATAAAAAACATAATTATTTCTAACATCTCTTTCTGTAAGGTCTATAAAGTGAGCATATTTGTGGTATCAAATATAATCTTGGGATTATTCTTTGATATAGGACTAAGAGATCTTTGAAGTTTTATTCTTTTGTTCTTAAAACAAATGGCTCCTAATGCTTAACACCAATATAACACCTTTTTTTATTCCCTCTGTCCTATTATCTAAATCTTAGCATTTCTCTACAGACATTAAAATCAATAATCTCCAAGTAGCTCTATAATTTCTGATTATTGATGTTGTTTTATGAAGTTTAGTATTTCCCTATGAGCTATCATGACTTTAAATTTTTTTTTTTTTTCCATTTCTTGATCATGTCACTGTCCTGCTTAATGGCTTCAATGACTGGTGTCCTCCAGCTGACCTGTAAGGCTCTCATGAATGGTCTCCTGTGGGTCTCCCTGTTGATCGCTCTGCTCCAGGCGCGCAAGCATTCTTTCAGTTCACTGAATGTACCAACCTCCTTCAACTCTGAGCTCTATACGTTTGCAGTTCTCCTTTCTGAGAAGCATTCCACTCAAACATTCCCTCCCATACCTGACCAAATCCTTCATCTGCAAATCTCATTTCCTTGGGGAAGCTTTTCCTAAAGCCTCATGCTATGCTAGTTTTCCCTGTCATACATTTTTATATTACCCTATACTTACCTTTCATGGCACTTAACAAAATTACATTTGAAAAACTATTAAATATATAACTCCCTTGGTAAATTTAAGACTCAGTGAAAAGAGGGGTCATCTGTATCTTATTCACTATTTTATCTCCAGGAACTAGTAGCAACTGGCACAGCATCTACCACATCACAAGGCTTTCACATTTTTCTAAAAAAAAAAAAAAAAAGGATATCAGATAGATGTCTATGTATGTAATAAATAGATAAATATATATATAAAATATTACCTTGTAATATTTTTAGTAGTTCATTAGCTGCAATCACCAGTTGTAGTTATAAGCAGAGTAATTTTTTTCAAGTGGCATGTAAGAAATTAATATTTAAAAAGATCAATTTAAGAAATTTTTCGAGACTGACTGAGGAGCAACCTGGTTGTTTATTCATGTTTTAGGCATTTTTAAACTTGTTATCTTTCTGAAATTTTATTTTTATTTTTCTTTAGTAGAGGAAGAATAAGTTAAGAGAAGAAAACACATTCTTACAGTTTTTTTTATTAAAACATGTTTACATAAATTCATTAGTCACTTAGATATGTGTGCCGTTCATCACAAATCATTAGGATCAGTACTGATTTTCTGAGAATGATACCAATTTGGCTGATTTGTTTTGTTTTGCTGGTTTTTTGTCTTATATACTCCTAATTTTGAGTTTCAAAAAAATTCTTTCACTCTGGGTAAAGCAGAGGAATATTTGCTGTGAATTTTTTATTTGCTAGATTATTTAATTGATTACGAATAAATACACTTATATTTCTTATTCTAATACCATGTAGTCATCTGCAAGAATCAAATACACGAGAGGGGAGCAGGGATGGCTAAATTATGTTTGTATTTTTATATTTCATTCATCGTATGAGAGTTAAAATAATAAATATGAATAAAAGTAAATTTATATTGACATGGCATTCTATACTTTCTAAAGCACTTTCCAAAGCACTTTCCTATGCATCATCTAACTTAATCTTCATAATTTTTTTTTTCTATATCATGTCTTAGTTTAAAAGAAACCTTGGGAAAAAGTTAGAGGAGTACTAAGGTGTGCTAGGTCAATGTCCCAAGTTGCATTTTGCTGAAACTGCAATTTGTGAAGATAAAGGGACGTGCGTAATGTTGTACAGCTAGAAAATACAGCAGCTGGTTGGTTGTCTTTTTCTTCTGATTTCCAATTTGAGAAAATTTTTAAAGAAATTCTTGTATCAATATGTAGATTAGCCACCATAGTATAATTAATGTATATCTTTTAGGAAAAGGTAGAGCAAAGCGGTTAAGAAAGCTCTCTGAGTGGGAATCCAAGACTTCTAGATGGGTGACTTGGGTAGGATGCATTGCCTTCAGGGCCTTCATCTGCTCAGTGATAAAACGGAGTACCACCCACCCCAGACGACTATTTTGAGGGTGAAATGATTTAATATGGTTACGAGACTCAGATATTGCCAGGCACATAGCTCATCATTAACTTTTATTTAAATTAAGTTAGTTGAATTTAAAATTAAATTTACTGTTAACTATTTTTAATATTATTAATTATTCCATTAAATAAATAGGTCTTGAATACTGATGTTCCAATTCCATCTAAGAGTATTTCTTTAGAATCTTGCCTAATGGTACATGGTTAAAAATAAAAGTTTCTTAAAATGTTTCATTCATTTCCTCTTTGAGACATGAGTAAATGTAATAATTCTTTGTTAGAAATCAGATGACATTTTCCAAGTTGATATATGTGGTAAATTAAACCATTTCTGTAGTAAGTCTAAGAGTAAATATTACTTCTTTTGTTTTGAATTCATAGTGACATTTACTGAATGTTGCTGCCAAAACACCTTACTTAGCTTTCACGGATGAAGGGGTCTGAGGGTTACCTCAGCTAGTTTTCATTTCTAGGATGATTTCTAGGATATATATTGATCGGTTAACATTTATTATGTATCTACTATATGGCATTCATGTGTTAGTCTATGTGGGCATTAGATAAAACTTAATATTTTTCTGGCATACCTGTGCAGAGAACTTCTATGTACACAGAAAGAGAGAGAGA